CTCTGGTTTACATATGTATATATGCAACACAGCCTCTGCCATGGTGGACAGAGAAGGTACATGCACTTCTCGGTGATTTCCAGGTAACAAGTTTTATATCATTTGACCAAACATATGCAATACACGGTTGTACATGTACAGGTCAGATACTAAGTAAGATAGCTAACTCACTCCCCCCTCCCTCTCCACCTGAACCCCATCCACTAGTTACGCATACGCTACCATTTTCCTTTAAAAAGTCTTCGAAATTTTCACTTCTGTCCAATTTCCACATTCCAGAGAAATCAACAGACGGTGAGTCCCCTTCAGGGGCGGCTTGTTGTTCTGCCTCTGCCATGTTTCCCACTTTACAGCTTAGATCTGGTTCATGTGTGGTGTCATGTGAACACTGAATTGGGTCAATGTCGTCTGGTTATAGAGTGAGCACTAGATAACCCTGTTATTTTTGGTTTAATGTCGTCTTGAGAGCAGCTGTTGTGAGACGTCTGCCAAGAGCTGCAAACTGACTTTTTTCTTACAAATGCCCGTGCTCTAGGTGCCAGCTGATCAAGGTGACAGCCGGCCACCCAAACCCAATATAGCTCTAGGTGCACATTATGTTACAGGCACGCTCTTAAAATATTAAGTGCACATATTGTATAAGAAACTTTGTTTGGTGGTTTAAAAAGGTAGTATCAAAATTTTACTGTCCTGGACCTATGGAGAAAAGGAATAGGCCTATACGTTACTGTCACAATTCAGTGAAAAATTTTCAGCTGCAGAGGCGTTTTTTTCACTTTGAAAATTCGATCAGCACTAGTTTTGTTCTTTATTTCCCGCAAGTATAACGTTGTAAAAACATGATAATTCTCTGTATAAAGCGATTATTATTATTATTATTATTTTGGACTAGAACTATAGTACCGATATTTCGCCAGTACTATAAATGAAGAACATACATCTTTTGGGGGCCTAAAAGATTTATTCGTATATTCTTATTTTCCAGTTACAATGCATTCTCTTTTATCCTATAGATCATCATTCCAATGTCATGATGTATCACAAAGTCTTTCTCCTACATTACCTTATTTGGTAATGTAATAATTCCTCAGCTCTTACACAATGTCTATGATTATCCCTTTTTCCATAACTTTCCATCATTACGTCATTACCAAACTATAATCATTCTCTTATTAGGCAATGGTATGTTACTTGACCTTAGGTCGCCATTTCTATTAATACAGATTTTTCATTGTATCATCCTGAAGGAATGATAACTATACTCCCTTATTCTTTTGTTATTATAGAACAACACATGCACTCTTTAACTCTCTTACTTACACTATTTAACCTCTTAACAAATGTATATTGTATTAGTTATGAAAGGTACAATGTATTCATTACAATCACAACTTTGTATCTGTACTTTTTTAAAATCATTTTCATTACGATAGAACGTTTTAGGCATAACGCAAAGCCCCCTGAAGTACAGTCTGAATATTTATAAAGACACCTTGACGTCAGCTATAATTTACCGAATCACTGCAACATATATTTGAACACGTTCCAAAAAATAAAAATTATACTTCCTGGAACATACATGTCCTTTACCATTTGGTAGTGTAAGTTCTCGATTAGGCTTCTTACATAAGGGCATAGACCACGATAGAAATCACACGTTGTACATTTAAGACAGACGTGGGTTTTTTAACCTATAGGCCTAGACGTTTTAAAAATTGATTACTACATCATTCAAGATAAGCATTTAAGTATTAAAAAATTCAAACGAATCGTGTTTTATATTAAGTCGCCGACTGCAATTTTGTTGATAAAATACGGACAAAGTAACAATAAAATTCAGTGTATATATTACCCAATTATCCCAGGAAAATCGTTTATATGTGCGTGGCACTATGCAGCTCCCCCCCCCCCCTTTCCCGTTTTAATGATTGCATTCTCGTTACAGATCCATCACCCAAACTGAATACATCTTTTGATTTTATAAATCAACAAACAGTTCTCAGCCAAATCACCGCCAACCTACTTACCTGTATATTCAGCCAGTAAAAAAGGGATGTGTACGTCGCACTTCTATTTTCATTCTCAGTTCCTATTCACATTTTACGAAAAATTTACATTTGAAATTGGTTAATTCAATTTTTGGCGGCAAACAAAAAATGTGTTTTCAAAAAAGGTACTTGCCTTTTCTTAATACAATGTCATGTACAATCTAAAGCTGCCATGTTATCCTAACCCATGCTCATCTATATTAGTACACTGTTCAGGTTTTAAAAAAACTAACAAATAATAAATTTTATATCTCACGAGATAAACATTTATTGAAAACCTCGCATACATTCCAAGCAAGGTATGATGAGAGCAACTGGATATGCAATGTAAAAGAAGCCTATTCAAATTAAAATACATCCTTTTGTTTTCTGGTATAAATACTTGGAGCAAAACTTTGAAAAAACTTACTCAGTGCAAAGTTTCCATGTTTACTGTTGACAAGTTGTTGAACTTAATTATAACATTTTTTTTCTTGCAAATAAGGTCAGTTAGATTGCATGGTTAAATTTAAACAGTAACAGAAATGTAAAAAGGTAAAGATGACGTTAAATAACAGTCTAAAAGAAAGTCATAAATATACATAATAAAGAGTGATCAGATTTTTAAAATACAATCTGGGCATACAAAATGCATTGCCAGAATGCTTATTGCATTTAATATTTAATCTCCAAAATTTTGCAAGGCACAATTATGAAAATCTAACTCACTTGCGTCCACATTTCTCACCTATTATAAATATAATATAATATAATTACAATGATAGTAATTAGTAAATACTCCTTTAAACTTTTTACATGATCTTTATTTTTCTTATCCTTTCTATTAATGCATGAAACTTTAAACAGATGCAGCATGGAAAAAAATGCCATAGAGGGAAAAAACAAATATTTAAACAGCACACATGAAATCAACTATTTACCATTTTTCCACATTTGAACACTTTCTCTGAAAAATCTGCTATTCACTCTGTACGAGTGTCAGTGTGTATCAACACTTGCTCAGGGGGATTCACCCCATGACTCAAGCTTTTAAAATTAACAATGATATAAAAAAATCAACAATATGTTGTCCAACATGGTGTGGACAGATAATAAAATTAATTCAATTATACAAAAATATGGCATAAAAAATCAGGATAACAAATACATTGACTTGTTTCTTATATCAATCATTCAGATGACTTCACAAGTCCCTTTTTGGCAAACCACTCATCACTTTTATCAGCTGCAATAGCCTAAAAAATAAACAGAAATAGTGAAGGTTAAGGTATATATTTATATTTTTATATTGATTTACTCTCTATATTTTAATATTGATTTTTATTTTCTAATTTGCTTAAAATTCAATTTTTATAATAATTTGTGAAATGTATATAGAGATAAAAAAGGCCCAGCCACTAACCAGGATTAGGGACTTTCCAAGACACATAGCATTTGGTGTCAGAATATTCTTATAAACAATTTTTTTATCAGGTTTTATAGGATCAGTTCATGATGTTGATGAATGAAAAATAAAGTTTAACAATGTGTAACTTTAAAAAGTAAAAAATTTAATATAGGTTAACATTAACTCTACCTCATCTATCAACTTCTCAGCTGAAGAGTCCATTTGGGACAGCTCCCGGAATGCCTCATCTCCAACAAAACATATTTCATAGCCATCCTAAAAATACAGGACAATTTACAATTAAGTACAAGTATCAAATTATATATTTCTTATACCGTATTTGTTGGTATGACAGAAATAAACTTCTAAAAAAGATTTTGGTCAAGTTCAACATGAAAGTGATCAAAAAGATTTCAGCTGAGGCTNCCCCCCCCCCCCAAGGAGATTGTTTTCACCCCTGTCTGTCTGTCTGTTTGTTTGTTTGTTTGTCATCAACATAACTCAAAAAGTTATGGACCGATTTTGATGAAATTTTCAGGAACTGTCAGAAGTGGGCCAAGGAACAGATGATTAGTTTTTGGTGGTGATCCGGATTAACAATCAATCAATAATCAACAATAATAAAAAAATCGCTGCCTTGGCGGAGGTCTGCGCTCTCGGAGTGCTTTTCTAGTTGTTTATGTAGTAACAGTATATACGGTTGATGCCATTCCCATATCACGCAGTCATATGAGTCTGTTTGATATGGTTTATCATTCTGAGTCACATACTCCAAAACGAAAAAGATTGCCTCCCACCCCAGTCCCACTCCCCCGAAATCGCAGATAGCAAATCTGGAAGTCCAGTGACGCATAGCAGATCAGATAGAGAAGCACTAGTCCCGTCCGTCGAGTCATAGCAAACAAAAGTTGTTACTGTACAAATGTAAAGGTAAAGTAACGGTGCTGCCGTATGTTACATGTAGAATTATAGACAAGTCGTCTTACCAACTTTGTTCAAGAACGCCTCAAAGTTTTCACTTCTATCCGCCTTCCAAGTCCCAGTGAAATCGACTGGCGCCATGTTAGTGGATTATTGTTGACGTTTTCTACTGCTACTCTGTTCAAATACCTATTAAATTATGGTGTCCATTAACACAAACCTGGGTACTGAGACTCGAACATACTCATTGTATGCACGGTATACAAAGTGAAAAGAGGTCAAGATCTATTTAACAAAGGGTATAGTCCTGGTTTTTAACCTCTTCCCAACCTTAAGCATGTTTAAGCACTACAAAATATGGGCCAGTGCTTTTACCGGATTTACGGGTAGGACCTACATTATGTCAGCTTTTATTAGATGACATATTCTCAAATAATTTTCTGCTTGTCACTGCGAAATGTGAATTGTTAACGAAAAGAGATAGTAGGGCCTGCTAGAGCACAGTGACGAGATTTGATAAAGCCAAGCACCGAAATACACGTCCGACATGTAACCCAAGGCTATCAGTGTGTGTGTGTGTGTGTTTGGGTGGGTGGGTGGGTGGGTAGGGGGGGGGGAGGGTGTCTTTGGGTGGGGGTGGATAGAGGTGGTTTGAGAAGGCGGTAGGCCTATATAGAAAGTAGGCCTACTTACTATAGGTTATTGCACTTGCCTGTGCAAAGTCACTAATGCATGATATGAGAACAATTTAGGACCCTGTAGTCAGTCTTGTATAAATCGATCGATGTTTTAACTGTGCATTAGATGCGATCAGTGATGATTATATTGATTTCAATTAACTAAAATATAACTTGTGTCACAAGACAATAAGTGTAAAGGTAAACAAAGTTATAAGATGTTTGTGAGGAAAGATTCGTTAATTTATTTTCGTATATATCAATATTCATCATAGTACAAAACAATGTACGAGTATTTATAAATAAACATATGATTTAAATGGCGATAAAAATTTATATTCGACACGTAAGCAGTAGCCTTTTCAGGAGTAAAACTGATACAATTAATTTAATATACAATCCAAAGAACAACATAAACGATATATTTTTGGACTTTGTTTTGCGATAAGTAGACACATGAATTTTCATCAAAATTAAACCTCGCTGGGGAGTTTTGATCATGCAGTTTATATGTACACGTAGTATGAGCTTCACACGATTTGAAAAAATTCGCTGCTTCTCTGTCTTCATTTGACCTGTACAATCGAACAGAGCGGTTTTTCAGTTTGTACAATACGTGTCTCTCCCTGGAAGCAGTAAATACTAGACCCTACTGAACTCTTTTAAAAAATCGTTTTGAAGTCACTTCACCGCATGTCATCTCCTGAAATGAAATGATTTAGAGATTAAAAGGCATTAACCAAACCAATCAAATAAAACATGTGCCTTTATTAAGAAAAACCGACAATTTTTTTGTCATTTCCTCTTATTCTATAGTTTGCATGGGAGGCATGTTTCAATGAGGCTAACTCCAATCACTAGTAAAGAATCATGGATATTCAACAAATTTGACGATTTCTGGTCGACTCTCGGACGAATATAAGGTTGACTCAAATTTTCAGTAACTTAAATAGTTTGCACTTTGTAATACAAAGTCTTGATTTTATTCCTAAACAAATAACGTGGTATATCTACCTGCACCATCTCCCCGTCTACGATCTCCCTGGTCATGATAACGGAGTCGCCGTCGCCGTCTACCGGAACACAACGGAATACCAGCTTGGACCCCTCCCAAGCAGGAGTGGTCTGCAAGTACAGGGCAAACAAACAGATCTTCAAATTAAATAGAATTCCATTGAAAAGTGTTAAAAATTCGCCGTATGTGCTATGTGTGCACCTGAGTTAATGAATAGTTCCATATGCAGTAGAAAAAATCATGAAATGACGTCACCTTCTCACCTTCATTTTCTTGTCAAATTCATCAACGTTCATTTCAGTCCCAATTGCAAAGGCACTTTCTTTTGATATTGGTCCCATGCTAAATTTAGTTTTAAAGTTGTCTTCATTTTGTTCTATTGTTACCGTTGGGTTGGTGTTAGCAGCAATTTTTTTCTTTATGAAGCCAATACCTGAAATATTTCATTAAAGCATAGCGTACACAGGATAGGCCTATATTTGTAATGATGAAAAGTTGGCATTATTTCATGTATGGAAACAAATGCCAGTACTACAGTTAGAGATACACACGAAATATATCTAAGGCACAAGTCGTATGTCGACTCAGTTATCTCTATCGTGTACAGGTATGGAATGTAGGTCTACAATGTATGATTAACTTACCAACTTTGTTCATGAAAGCCTCAAAATTTTCACTTCTGTACACTTTCCAAGAACCAGAAAAATCAACTGCTGCCATGGTGAGGGAGAACTACACTATAAGACGTGTAAATATTTACAGCTAGATGTAGATATATTCTAGTAAAACGGTGCTGCATAAGCACATTGCCTTTCCAGCTTCTGAAGTCGTCTTTACAAACTATCGTACGTAATCAGGTAGGCCTACAACAGCACCCGTTGATCAAGTCACACATTAACTTCAAAATCCAGCATTAAGATTATCTTCTTTGTGAACAGTGACGCTGTTCATGCAATGGTTTGCTGCATTACCAAAGTCCAAAGCAGGACACTACACAATTGCAGCCACCAACGATCGCATAGAGTCTACTACCATTGCATGTGTCTTCAAATGACGCTATTTTCAATCAAATAGTTGTTACTTACGTACGTCGTTGTGATCGCGTGCAGCGGCGTCGTCATAATGACGTTGTATAAAGAAGTTATCATAATGATGCATCTATGAAGATCTCATGAAAAAGATGTAGTATCCTATCCAAGCTTTCGGTTTCTACGCCTTCTCTGGGGATAACTTATTTATTTCTTAAAGGTCTATACGGTGATTTGATATGAACCCTCAAAATGACGTTGCATGTAACGACCACGTCGCTGGGAATAAACAGTGAAAATTTTTTAAATAATGAATAAAATAAAATAACTATAACCTTCAGTGATAGTGTATATATTCAGGAAAGATGTCACTTAAAGCTGTAAGCCCATTATTTATTCTAAGACTTTGGTTATTTTAATTTAAAATATTTTCACTAATTCAGTAGGGCTTAATCTTTATAAAATAATTTTTTTTCGTACAAACAATATGCAATTTGTTCCTGTTAAATTAAATTTTAGATATTTATGTTTTAATGTTTACCAATGGATATAATACCCCTCAGTATAGATACTAATGATGTTATGTTTAACAAAGGACATTATATACGAAAGAACCCTGTGAAGAGCAAGCCAATGCTCAGGGATACATCAAGCTGACACGGGTGAACAGACAATAAGTAGGTCTACGTGTACATGTATTAATGAGGTAATATATTGTTGCACTTTTCCTTTTGGCTCACTCTGTAAATCTTTGAACGTGTGCATTTAAAGCATTGAAAACTAAATCAGAAGAAAATTTTTAAAGTTTTCATTTACGATAGATCCACATATTAGATTTATCTCTTGACCGTTGTGTCTGTTCACTCTGACAGACTTGGTCACAACTGAATTACTTTTTAAAGTTGAGATCCAATGAAACTATTTTCACATATAAATCAGAATAACTTACAAAACAGAGTGGACGAGCCAGTGCGAGCTATCACTGTATCCTTATGCTCATTTTGATGCATTAGGGGCCTACCCCCACCTCTCTCTCTCTCTCTCCCTCTCTCTCTCTTAGGCTCACCAATAATATTTTTGGGGTTAAAGTTGATGTAAAGCACAGAAAAGCTTAGCAAGCACTTTTATTTGGTTTCCGATTTTCGTTGAAATGACGTCAACACTGTTGATTCTATTCTTACTTATTCCAGAATAACATGGTGATCAACGGTTGCTGCGTACAATAGTTCCTTATTAGACTTGAAAAAAATATATTAATCTACTGGCTCTTTGCGCAAAGCAATAAGCAGGATATAGTGATTATCAAAATAAAGCATTTGTTTTCATTCCATTCATCTTGTAATCTTTAAAATCTAATCATGAAACAATCACTGAAAAAAAGGTTAACCATATACGGTAATATTTAAAACAAGGCAGCAAAGCTGTCAAATGTACAGACAAAGAACAGAAAATAAAGATGCAAATAAGTGAAAAATTAAATTTTCACAAAAAACTGTTAAATTGCCAGAAAAATTTACCAAACAGACTGCGTTGCCTATTGAAGCTGTATTTTAGTCCCATGTTTCTTTCCTATAAGTTTGAGAACAGTAAGTGACATGATTTCCCTTAAATGGTCATCATAGGAGCAGTGCCCAAAATAGGGGTTTCTTCAAATTTTGATACAACATTAAATAATGTTTAACAGCATAATGACAATCAAATGTTATTAATAAAATATTAGTAACATGGACATTCAGAAAATGTGACAAGCAAAAGTCTTCAAGATCATGGAACTTTAAAGTCACACCTTGAAAATGCCAATATGTGAAAAATTAAATTTTCACAAAAAACTGTTTAACTGCCAAAAAAAA